TTGGCCGCAGCTTGAGTTTGCATCTTGAGCTGCGCCTCAAGAGATTTCCCCAGGGTTAGGGGATCAGTTTACGCTGACCCCTCCGCCTGAGCCCACCTGGACTCTTTGTGAGCCTGCTTGAATGCAAATACACATTGACGATGTCAAAGGTAGTGTTGCCATGACCGAACATGTCGACCACGGTTTGAAGTCGAAGGGGGCCTGGGGTTGGGCGGATAGGATGGCTCGTGGTGAGGCTCATTGGTCTCACTGTCTTTGATTCTCGGGAAGACTTGGAGCCCTTAGAAGCAGCCGAGGTTCTCGATGGAGCCAGAGGTGGAGCCCTGGTCGAGGGGACTAAGGACAGTTGGTATAACAGCGCCTTTAGTCTTGCTGCCCTATTCCCCTCTGGCCTGGGACGTGAAAGCTTGGCAATGGCAGCAGGAGTCAACCACATGGCTTTCTCCATGGCAAAGCAAGGACTTTGCATGCCCCTCTGAGTTAGGGATCTTTGAGGCACACTGGGTTCAATCTTTGAAACAAGTCATTGACATCTCTACAAAGTTCCAAAGACAGCTATATGGCAGGGAAAAAAGGAACTAAGGAGCGTGGAGCCGGTGTGCCTTTTATGCCCTGGGAGGAGTGGACGGGTTTGCTGCTGAAATTTAAAAGATCACAGCTTGGAAAGCTTTCTAATGGATCCTGCATAGGCACAGTAATTCCTTACATGTGCATTCACAGAGACCATGAAGAAAAATCACGTTCCATCAACTGAATGGATCTGCTCTATTTGGGATTAGGATCAATATTTCAACTGCAATGTCCTAGATAAGGGTTTCTCAACCTTCCTAATGCTGCGACCCTTTAATAAGTTCCTCATGTCCGGTGAACACCAACCATAAAATTATTTTCATTGCTACTGCATAACTGTAATTTTGCTACTACTACTACTACTACTACTACTACTAATAATAATAATAATAATAACAATAACAACAACTTTATTTTTGTATCCCGCCACCAATTCCCCCGAACTCGGGGCGGCTTACATAGGGACTAGCCCAGTCAAACATACATTAAAACATAACACAACAAAGGTTATAAAAGCAGCATTATAAACAACATAAAATATCATTAACAAATACATGAGTCTCTACTTTGTTCTTCAAGAGAGAGATTTCATCTCAGTTTGCTATATTACTGTGTAACTAGCACAAGTAAGTGTTTCTTAATCTGTTAGTTTATTTGAAGGAGACCGTTTCCCTCATTCTTTATTTCTCTTTTTTTTTAACTGAACAGTTTCTGCAGTGAAAATAACATTCCTTTTTGTCAAACCAACAGTTTTATTGATGTACATTCTAGGAAATTTGATAGTATGATTTCCGTTCTATACAACAGAACTGATTTTTTTCCTTCACAAGGCAAAAGTTCAAGATTAAAAACAAACAAACAAACAAACAAAAGGATTGTACGCCTCTATGTCTGTCTTTCAGAAGCTCTGTAACTACCTGAATTCTAGATGCCTCTATTCTAGGTACAATTTTCATTTTCTTTCTTGGATACCCTCCAGAGAGGTGCTCTTAAAAAATCCTTAACTGCATCAATTTGTCTGCAAATTGGCAAAGGTAATCCCCTTCTAACATGCTACTAAACCTGTTCATTCAGTTCGGACAAGGAAAAGTTATATCCATGTTTGTATTTCTTGTGATAGACAATGTGAGATAAGAATCGCTTGGATCCTGTGATGGATTTAAGACTAAAAAGTGAACCAGACCAGTTCTAAATAAATCAGAACCAAAGCAGCCCATTTTCAGAAACACTTCTTTCAGAAATACTGAATCAGGATCTGTACTGGATTTCAGGGTCTACTCAGGACCACGGTTTTAAAACACATTCCAGTATGCAAATTTAACTGTTCTTGATTATACTAATGATTGTTACACATATATCTTTTTTCACTAAAACAAAAACAGATGGAGGGATTTGGATTGTAGTTGCCCCATGATCAAGACAGAAAATTTGGTTTTTTTTAAAAAAATGGCTGATTACAGTAAAAATACTTTTATTATCTGTATGTTATTGGAATGCAATCTGTATCTGGCCGTGCTTTGTGTTTTTATTGTAATGTTTCATCACCGAAATTATGTTTTAAATGTGCTTTAACAAAGAGTTGTTAAGTTTTGTAAAGCATAGCTGGATTTTGTTTTAAATCAACGTAAGACAATTTCAATCTTCTGCCAGGAAAGAAGAAAAGCAAATTAGCACTAGCCAACAAAGTTAGTGGTGAGAGTATCTGGAGAACAGAACATTCTTCATTTCTCACTGAAGCTTATTCTTGGGTATATCAGAAAACTATATCTGTAAGTCCAAAGTTGCACACAGATCAGCTAAATAGAGCCATTGTGTCACTGTGTCTGCAGCAGTCCTAATTATGAATTTTAAAAGAACTGATTTTATATATATATAAGAATTGATTATATAGATAGATAGATAGATAGATAGATAGATAGATAGATAGATAGTCAAAGTAAGATATATCATATATACTCAAGTATAAGCCAATCCAAAAATAAGCCAAGGCACCTAATTTTACCACCACCACCAAAAAAAAGAAAAAAAAGAAAAAGAAAAAAGGATTGACTCGAGTATAAGCCAAGGGTGAAAAATGTAGCAGCTACTGGTAAATTTCAAAATAAAAATAGTTATCTATAAAATTACCTCAGTTGAGGCATCAGTAGGTTAAATGTTTTGTAATATTTACATAAAAACTGTAATTTAAGATAAGACTATCCAACTCTGATTAAATCATTATTCTAACCTTCTTCAACGTACCTTTCCAATAATTCAAATAATTATTGCAATGATACATAATAATAATAATATTAAAATAATAAATGTAATAAAATAATAACAGAGAAAAATAATGGAAATGTAATAACAGTAATAATAATAGGGTAAATAATAATAGGGTAAAATAATAAATGTAATACAAACAATAATAGAGCAAAATAATACATGTAATAAAACAATAGAATAAAATAATACATGTAATAATAAAAATAAGAAATAAGAGAAAAAATAAAAATAATAATAATGGAGTAAAATAATACATTTAATAAAAATAATACTAATAACAGTGTAAAATCATAAGTAACCTTGACTCGAGTATAAGTCGAGGGGAGCTTTTTCAGCCTAAAAGGGGGGCTGAAAACTAGATATATGCGAGTATATACAGTATATATATATATATGCAAGATTTACCAAAGAGCTCCTGTGTCTTTACTCTTTCCATGCATTAAAAGTGAATCCTGATTATTTTGGATTTATGGATATCTATGATCTAGCTTTATACAGAACAGCCAAATATGTGGAATTCCATTATATTAATCAAAGTGGACAATTTCTGGGGGTCTGGAGATGAATTGCCCTTCATAATCACAGCAGGGGGCGTACATCTGTAGAAAGCAATTACCGATAACAACCTGTGAGGATGCCTGCCATAGATGTGGGCAAAATGTCAGGAGTGAATGCTTCTGGAACATCACCATACAGTCCGTAAAACTCACATAAAACCAATTACCAATTATTTTGTTCACCCCATATATGTGTTCTACTGCAATTTTGGGGAATACTGGTATTCATCATTACCTTTGCAAAGTATAATTTACTCCTTGCCTATCCAACAAGAGCTCTGTTGGATTTTTTTTTTTAAAAAGAGCACAATGAAGGAAACACACATATTCAAGCTTAGTTTTTGGACTTCTGTATTCATCTATAGAAGCTATACATTATACAAGAACTCTTTTCTCAGTTCAAGGGCATTCATTCAAGGGCATTCACATAAATATACATAAACTTAAGACAAGGTTGTACTGATGCTGAATACTATGTGCTAATTGCCTACAAGCTTAGTTATGAGCTATAACTCTATTGATTTGTGATTTGTGAGTTCAGCTAGTCTATTATAAATGAAGACACAACAGCTGCATTTTGTCTTTCAAATGACAGCACAAGAAGCTGTCCATCTGTAACTACAACAAGTTTTATTTACAGTAATTTTGCCAACCAAAGAAATGGCTTACCAATCTTGACTTAACAGTAATAGGGAAAGATGCTTTTGTGAAAATCTTGAGCTGATCTATAAGAACCATTTCCTGTTCCCTAATTATGGCTGATCTACTGGGATGTATCTTCAGGACACTGGATTCTTTCTGCTCCCACCAATATAACCATGATTCACCCAGACAAAACTACAATTAATGCTAAGGGTAGTCATATAACCTAAGAACTGACATCAGTATGAGGCTGCTTGCAAATCCTGAGTTATGAGTTCATCCAGGTTAGTACTAACCATACTGGACATAATAGTCATAGCTTTAAGGCAGCTACAGCATGTGTGGATGTTGGAATAGATTTAAGGAAGAGAAATTGAGATTCTGTACTATAATGTGAGTCAAGGAATCAGGTGCAAAGCATCTGAAGCAGCCATTATTTCTGCCACTTGAAAAATACATACAATTAGAATTCTAGGAGACTACATCTGGAAATAGTATTCTTCCAGGATCACATTCATACATACAAATCATAAATGATGGGAATAAAAGCATGACAGTCTAAGAAAAACGAACCTAATGAAGAACACCATTGAATTAATCAAATTAACTTTTGTATACATTTACTTATGACACAAATGGCTCTTTACTTATTTTTTACAAGTAGATGTTATAGAAATCAAGATCGCAGCAATCTTGGAGAACTAGTTCCAAGAAAAAGGAACTTCAGGCTTTGGGTAAATCCTCAGCTTTACTGAAACATGCCTAATTTGTTTCTGCTGACCTTATGTTACTGTTTTTAGTTTCTTTTTTAGTAGATAAAAGCTTTTACTGCATTTTAAATTTATATATTCTGACACTGTCAATATCCAACTTTGTTAACTGACAAGCTTAAATGAAAGATGAGATATAATTTTTTTTAAAATAAAATAAATATGCTCAGTTTAATTAAATCATGAGAATGCTTACCTTTTATTGGAGAAATGAATGAAACAATGCTATACAGTTGATATTATGTCAACTGGTTTCATCTGTATTTCCACTTCAACAATTCCAGAACAAAATTGTAACAATGCATATTTCTTTAAATCTGCAAGACAGAAAGAGTTAAACGTTAAGTCTACAGAAGCTTTATGAATGATTAAGAACAAATTTCATTCTATCAGCTAAAATGTCTTTTATACACATCCATCAGCATGCATAGAACTAGTTCTGCACAACTCCTTAGGCCATGCAATAAAATACCTTATTTCAACTTGGAGTGATGTTCAAAGTAGTTTATGAAAATAGCATGAGACAAGATAGTATATAAACCTCAGGCTGCATGCTAGCCATTCAGAATAATGCTACAACAAATAATTCTTCAAACTGTGTGGTATGCCTTACAGACCTAATTTTTGATAAACTGAGATTTGAAAAAAAAATATTTTAAGACTTTAATTCCCAAACCTAGATGCTGCGTTTTAACTCAAGAAGACTAGATGAAAAAGGAATTATAGGAAAAGACTGCAGGAATCAGACTCGGCCTTTAACTTCAAAGGGAAAATCTTGCATTGTATCGATTTTTTGGGGACACACACACATGTAAATGGTAGTGGTGGTTATTTCTGGACTGCTTTCATGGGCTAGGATATTTTTATGTTAAGTCCACATGGAATAGATTTGGTCCAATGACAAGAAACTGTGCTTGTCCACATGGGGGAAGGATCTGGTCCAATGACATTGTTGTCACTCCCAGGGGAGGAAAGGAAATGATGCTAAACCAAGTGATCAGAAAAACATGACTGGATAGGTCAGTCTGAAATACAGGGAAGCAAACTGATAAAGCACGGTATCTCATTATTCTATTTCAGTGGATGTTCTAGTGTGAATTTGAATGACGATTAGTCCCTGTTTATGAATGGCCAGCCCTAATTTATTGATAAGGTTGTATTCAGCACTTTACCTCCAGCCCCAGCCCTATAGTTTTCTTTTTGCACAAGCCCATGCCATGCCCTCTCTAATCTGATCATGCCCATCATATTCCTGGTTACTGGTTGTTGAGGTTGGTTTGATACACTTTTATGATGTTTTTATACTCTGCCGTTTCTAATTGTTTTGATTAGATTGTTTATGTTATATGTTATTATGTTTTGACTGTATTTTAGCTGGTAAATTTTGTTGTATGCTGAGCTTGGTCCCCATGTAAATTGCGCTGAGTCCCGTTGGGGAGATGATGGCGGGATAAAAAAATTAGGTTGTTGTTGTTGCTGTTATTAATATTATTATTACAAGGTCATAATACATCTGTCTCCAAGACTTATAATCATTGGTTTAACAGCATTAGCAACCAATAATAAAATTGGGTAAAAACTGAGCAATTTGACACTAGCTTGAACACATTCCGTTCTTAATGGCAATAATTTTTGTGAAATAAACAGGTTGATGGTTAACTTTTAAGTAAAATATAGAGAAGGTGCTTTTGTATTATATTTTGAAACCTTCGTTTAGATGTCTAGAAAACATCAATACAAAGCCTTCCAAAGCAGGTTTTCTATCCCTTACACAAAATTTCTTGAATTACTACTGAATCCCTACGAAGTATTAAAAATTGAAGGCTGATTATTACAGCCCTCATGCAGTCAAGTCATATACAATATAATTTTTCTTACAAATCCACACATTTTGATAGCATACTGAATGTCCTACAACCACAATGGAGTATACTCTACAATGAAACCTTGAATCTAGTAAAAGTGCCCTCTCCACACATCAGACAGCAAAGCTGGTGTTGTACAACAAAAGTCTCTGGTGCCACACGAGAGTCCATCTTTAGCCAAACTCCCTCCCTCTCTGTTATATTTTATTTGTAATATTTTCCCAAATTATCTGCAAAACAAAAATATAGACAGAGCCACTTTAGTTCAGCAGAAATATGTTACATGAGCTTTGAAGTAACTTTCTATTTGACCGTCTTCATGAGACACCTCGCTGTTATTAAATAAGCTGGGGTTTTTTCTTTACTGACAGAAAAGCAATTGAATCAGTTCAATATTATTAAAATCTTCTTAAAACATATATGTCACTGAAAAATATCTATCACAGATCTACTGCAAATGTCTGCTGCACACAAACTCATTATCTCACCACTACAGCAAGCATGAGACAGGGAAAGCGACTGGCTGGGGGTTCCAGTCTGTAAACTGATCATTGCAAATGGAAAAAAGAAAACAACTACAACTGTATTTTTTATAAAAATCAGCTGCCACCAGAAAAACAAGCATGTTACAGGAGGGATCCTTCAAATGGAAGAAAGATCAAGAACTAGTCTCCTAATTAAGGTAGGACATCTCCTACCTCAGGCCTTATTGTTTCTATTATGTTTAAATGTATGGATTACACAATCTGAAATACCTCCAACTGAATGAGGGATACAGTACTTGAGTAGCTATTAATTAAATCCAAGTGCCAATTTTGTGACTTCTGCAATTTTTTCACACACTGCTGAACTATCAAACATAGGACTCAAACAAGTCAAAGCATGGCAAATCCCTTTGAATACTGTCTGAACAGGAGGTATAGTACAGATAAACTATTAAAGAATGTGGAAACAAGAAGAAAGAAATTACATATTGGAGTTTCATAAGAGATAAACTCACAAAAAGAAATAAAGGAATTCAGCAGCACCTTTGAGACTGAGAAGAAATGTGTAGCATAAACTTTAATGGACTCAGACCACATCACAAAAATAGTACAGATGAAGGCTTAGACAACTGAGAAAGTAAAAGAAAAAAATCAGTTACCATGCACTATCAGCAGGAATTCTAACTACACAGAAAGCTATGCATTTAACTTTGTGGAACAGGATACACAGTGGAGCAATGAGAACCATTTTTATGTTTCATAAATGAAAGTGTTATTGACAAATAAATTACCAAGCTTGAAGAAAGCATGCTGCTAATTTTAAAGCTAAAACCTTAGTAAAGTTAACTATAACTCCTTAATTTATTCAATTCATTTGACTTCAGAAACTAAACTGTATTGGCCCTCATAAGTACTTCAATGAGACTCCACCAAGAATATCAGGGATCTCTAGGCAGTGCTAATACAGATTTATGTGTACACTAAAGGTTAGCAATACTGACTTAGGATAAGGCACCTTTGTTTCCCCCTAACATTACATTAATGTTCCATTAAGCTAACTTTCTTATATATAAATCAAGGTAAAAAAAATGTAATTTTATGGAATTTACTAAACAGTTAAAATTATGCATCTACGTCATACAATTTAACAAATTCCTAGATTGAAGGTAAATGTTGAATTCCACCATTCATTTTATGTGGTAGCCTTCCAATTAAAATCGTTAATTTCTTTGACCACAATCTCCCTTACGATGTTCATCCAAAGTCAGTTGAACTGGCAAGATAATGTTTTTAAACCAATGAGGCACACATGCATACAAACACTGTTGTTACTCAACAACTACAGTTGAAATGGTGCTATACTATCCATACTAAGTTGCACAATGGAAAACAATATATTTTTTATTAATTTGGAAATTATATTTTTTCTGCACCACAGTTCAGATTCATGGTGTTCCCTACATCTACCCAGCTTGTAACTCTATTGAAAAAAGAAATCAGATTAGTCTGGCATGACTTGTTGTTGATAAATCCATGCTGACTATTAGTGATGACCCCATTCATTTCTAAGTGTTTGCAGACCACTTCCTTAATGATCTTTTCCAGAATCTTGCCTGTTATCGACGCGAGGCTGACTGGACAGTAATTGTTTGGGCCTTGAAGATAGGGACCACATTGCCTTCTTCCAATTGCCTTCTTCCAATTTCTATAAACTATTTTGAAAAATTCACACTTAATGCACAAACCGACTTAGAGAATCAAAGTCTATGCAGAACACAGTCTTGGTCAACTGTTGAAAGATCACCAGGGTTGGAGTCAGCCTGGCTTCTCATAGAAAAGGATGTCAAAAGACGAAGCTTTGTTTTACAGGTTCACCAAGTAAGCCTTGTAATAATACCATGTCCCCAAGTCAAACGTGTCAACAGGGAAGGCTTCCTAGTTGAAGCACAGTAACTCTCCAGGGAAATGTGGCTAGAATAAATACTATCAGTTTCAAAATCAAATCAAAACCTTTTGGTTTGCCAAAACATTTTGATCAACTGATCCTTTCTTCCACATATTTTCTGCTTCTCTTTGTTTTTTAATCTGTTCACAGATTTCGAGTGTTTTTATTTTTTTAATTTGTATTTGTATACTTTCGTATACATTGAAGGATAGAAGGCAATCTACACTATTTTATCAAATAGTTAAAATAATAAATGTTGGTATTTTTTATTTTATTTATTTTTGTTTCATAACCCACCTTACGTCTTAGCTTTGGGGAAAGACAGAGTATAAATAAACCAAGATTATTACATTCTACTACACTGTACTAAAATACTTTCCTATAATACTGTACATTATAGGAAGACTTAAAACTTCCTATGATGTCTGATGGTGGCTTAGACAATTATGAGTAGAGAGAGCAAATCAAACTTTTTTCCCCTCTATAAATATCAAAATACACAAATCTGGCTGGAAGTGATTTCAAGAATGTCAAACAGAATTATGTCCTCACACTATGCATACTTAACTTATAACTAATAGAATTACAATTTGTGGTTTTTCAGTTTCACTGACTCATTCTATTCACTACTTATTAGTTCCATTTCAAGATGAGAAAAATCAACGCAGAAACCAGGGGCAATTCCCCTCAGTGGTTGCCAAATGCTATATGGAGCTGATCTAGGGTAAGAAAGGGCAAGGCCACCTTAACACCACCTCACCCCACATTAACCAGGGGACAGGGCAAATTCTGGCCCAGAATTTGGACTATATCTTGACTTTGGGCATGTCAGAACAGTTGGTTCTGTTGCAGAACTCGCAATAACTGTTCCCACTGTCATGTCATGTTTCCTAGCTTCGGGCAGCACAGGGACATGGGATGGCAGCCACCATCCCTCCTGCCTTCTGTGTCATGTCTGGCCATAACACAGATCCTACTTGTCCACCATCATCTGCAGTTACATCTGCTGTGACGACGAGGTA